AAGCTATCAACCCAGTGTGAGGAATATAAATACTCACTGTGCGTGGATAAATGAAAGGAATAGTAGGACATGATGCTAGAAGAGTAGGTTAAGGGTACAGAATAAATATTTAAGGTATGTCCTTCTTCACAACTAGGATTAACAGTTTCACTATTGGAAAGGAAGAATAATAAAGAGGAAAAATAAATGGACTTTACTAACAGCCCTTGATGAGAGGTTTCATCTGTTACTTATTTTGATCCCTGACATTATAGACTAAGAAACTGAGACCCAAATACATTAAGTGACTTGCTTAAAATTGTGCAGATAGTCAGTGGTAGAGCCAAGATTTTGACTGAGACTGTCCAATTCTACTAGTTTTTGTTCCCATCAGCTAGAGTAGAAAACAACATAATTTATGGGCTTCAAATAGAGTACTCAGGATAGTTTTACCTCAGTAATGGAAAAAAATTAGCCCTAGGATAAATGTTGCATTGGTCCAGCTCAACAAAGATTAGAAGCAAAACCCAAAAGGATCAAACTGTTTCCAAGTAATTTAATGACACCCCAGAACAAAGCTCAAAAATATTTATAGGACTCCAAAAATATCCATGGTACAGCAAAGTAGAATTCACAATGTCTGGCATCCAATGAAAAAAAAAAAAAAATATATATATATATTTTTCTTTGTGAGGAAGATCAGCCCTGAGCTAACATCCATGCTAATCCTCCTTTTTTTGCTGAGGAAGACCGGCTCTGAGCTAACATCTATTGCCAGTCCTCCTCCTGTTTTTCCCCAAAGCCCCAGTAGATAGTTGTATGTCATAGTTGCACATCCTTCTAGTTACTGTATGTGGGATGTGGCCTCAGCATGGCCGGAGAAGCGGTGCGTCAGTGCGCGCCCGGGATCCGAACCTGGGCCGCCAGTAGCAGAGCACTTAACCATTAAGCCACGGGGCCGGCCTCCAATGAAAATATATTAAACATACAAAGAAGCAGGAAAATATTACCCATAATGAAGAGAAAAATCAACCAATAAAAACCAACCCAGAAATGACATAGATGATAGAATTAATTGACAAGGATATTGAAACAGTTATAATAACTGTATTCCATATGTTAAAGAAGCTAGAGTAAAAATTCGTCATACTAAGTAGAGATATTAAAGATATAAAAAAATACCCAAATGGAACTTCTAGAGATGAAAACTATAATAGTTGATATGAAAAATGCATTGGATGGAATTAGCAACAGATTAGACACTGCAGAAGAATTGATTAGTGAACTTGAAGACATAGCAAAAGCAAGTATCCAAAATGAAATACTCAGGGAAAAGAAGACTGCAAAACAAACAAACAAAGCATCAATGAGCTATGGGACCACTTTATTTTATTTTTCTTTAAGGTTTTACTTTTTTAGAGCAGTTTTAGGTTCACAGTAAAATTGAGGGAAAGGTACAGAGACTTCCATATACTGCTTGACTCCACGCATTCACAGCCTTCCCTATTATCAACATCTCCCACCAGAGTGGTACATTTCTTACAATTGATGAACCTATTGACATATCATAATCACCCAAAGTACATAGAGTACATTATGGTTCACTCTTGGTGTACATTCTGTTGGTTTGGACAAATGTGTAATCATACGTGTCCATCATTATGGTATCATTAAGGTATTTTCACTGTCCTAAAAATTCTCTGTGCTTCACCTATTCATTCCTCCCGACCCCACCCCCAACCCCTGGTAAACACTGATCTTTTTACTGTCTCCATATTTTTGCCTTCTCTCGAATGTCATATACTTGGAAACATATAGTATGTAGATTTCTCAGATTGTCTTCTTTCTCTTAGTAATATGAGTTTAAGTTTCTTGCATGTCTTTTCATGGCTTGACAACTCATTTCTTTTTAGCACTGAGTAATATTCTGTTGTCTGAATGTACTACAATTTATCCATTCACCTGCTGAAGGACATATTGGATGTTTCCAAGTTTTGGCAGTTATGAATATAGCTGCTATAAACATCTGTGTGTAGGTTTTTGTGTGGACATAAGTTTTCAGCTCCTTTGGATAAATAACCAAGAGTGTGATTGATGGATCATATGCTAAGAGTAGGTTTAGTTTTGTGAGAAACTGCCAAATTCTTTTCCAAAGTGGCTATACCATTTTGCATTCCTGCTGGCAATAACTGAGAGTTCCTGTTGCTCCACATTTTCACCAGCATTTAGTGTTGTCAGTGTTCCAGATTTTGGCCATTGTAATAGATGTATAGTGGTATTGTGTTGTTGTTTTAATTCGTATTTCTCTAAAAACATATGATATGGAGCATCTTTTCACATGCTTATTTACCATCTGTATATCTTCTTTGGTGAGGTATCTGTTAAGGTTTTTGACCCATTTTTTTAAATCAGGTTGTTTGTTTTCTTATTGTTGAGTTTTAAGAGTTCTTTGTATATTTTGGATAACAGTCCTTTATTGGATGTGTCTTATGCAAATATTTTCTCCCAGTCTAAGCTTGTCTTCTCATCTTCTTGACATTGTCTTTCTTAGAGCAGAAGTTATTATTTTAATGAAGTCCAGATTATCAATTATTTCTTTCATGGATCATGCTTTTCATGTTGTATCTAAAAAATCATTGCCATACCCAAAGTTATCTAGGTTTTCTCCTATGTTATCTTCTAGGAGTTTTATAGTTTTGTGTTGTTTTACATTTAGATCTCTGACCCACTTTGAGTTAATTGTTGTGAAGGGTGTAACGTCTGTGTCTAGGTTTATTTTTTACATGTGGATGTCTAGTTGTTCCAGCACCATTTGTGAAAAGATTATCTTTCTCCATTATATTGCCTTTGCTTCTTTGTCAAAGGTCAGTTGACTATATTTATGGGGTTCTATTTTTGGGCTCTCTATTCTGTTCCTTTGATATTTTGGTTCATTTTTTTGCCAATAACACACTGTCTTGATTACTGTAGCTTTATAGTAAGTGTTGAGTTTGGGTACTGTCAGTCCTCCAACTTTGTTCTTCAGTATTGTGTTGGCTATTCTGGGTCTTTCGCCTTTCCATACAAATGTTAGAGTTTGTCAATATCCAGAAAATTACTCACTGGAATTTTGATTGGAATTGCATTGAATCTATATATCAAGTTGTGAAGAACTGACATCTTGACGATATTGAATTTTTCTATCCACAAACATGGAATATCTCTCCACTTACTTAGTTCTTCTTTGATTTTGTTAATGAGAGTTTTGCGGTTTTCCTCATATAGACCTTGTGCATATTTTGTTAGATTTATACCAAAGTATTTCACTTTTTGGGGTGCCAATGTAAATGGTATTGTGTTTTTAATTTCAAATTTCACTTGTTCATTGATGGTATATAAGAACATGATTGACTTATGTATATTAACCTGTAACCTTGCTGTAATCACTTATTAGTTCCAGAATTTTTTTTTTGTTGATTCTTTCAGACTTTCTACATAGACAGTCATGTCATCTGCAAGTAAAGAGCTTTATTTCTTCCTTCTCAATCTGTACACATTCTATTTCCTTTTCTTGTCTTATTGCATTAGCGAGAACGTCCAGTATGTGTTAAAAAGGAGTGGTAAAAGGGGACATCCTTGCCTTGTACCTGATCTTAGTGGGAAAGCTTTGAGTTTCTTACCATTAAATATGATGTTAGCTGTGGGTTTTTTGTAGGTATTTTTTATCAAGTTGAGGAAGTTCCCCTGTATTCCTAGTTTACTGAGAATTTTTATCATGAATGGATGTTGGATTTTGTCAATACTTTTTCTGCATCTATTGATAAGATCATGGGATTTTTCTTTTTTAGCCTGTTGTTGTGATGGATTACATTAATTGATTTTCAAGTGTCGAACCAGCCTTGCATACCTAGGATAAGCTCACTTGGTCATGGTGTATAATTCTTTTTATATGTTGTTGGATTCTATTTGCTAATATTTTGTTGAGGATTTTTACATCTATGTTCATGAGAAATATTGGTCTATAGTTTTCTTTTCTTGTAATATCTTTGTCTGGTTTTGGTATTAGGGTAATGCTGGCCTCCTAAAATGAGTTAGGAAGTATTCCCTCTGTTTTTATTATCTAAAAGAGTTTGTAGAGTACTGGTATCATTTCTTCCTTAAATGTTTGGTAGAATTCACCAATGAACCCATATGGGACTGGTGCTTTTTTTTTTTTTTTTGGAAGGCTTATTAATTACTGATTCAATTTCTTTGATGGATATAGGCCTATTCAGATTGTCTTTCTTTTTTGTTGTGAGTTTTGGCTAATTATGTCCTTGAAGGAATTGGTCCATCTCATCTAGATTATCAAATTTGTGGGCATAGAATTGTTCATAGTATTCCTTTATTATCCTTTTAATGTTCATAGATTTGTTAGTAATGTTACCTCTTTCATTTCTGATGTTAGTAATTTGTGTACTCTCTTTGTTTTTTTTCCTAGGTAGCCAGGCTAGAGGCTTATTGATTTTCTTGATCCTTTCAAAGAACCAGCTTTTGGGTTCATTGATTTTTCTCTATTGATATTCTGTTTTCAGTTTCATTGATTTCTGCTCTAATTCTTATTATTTGTTTTCTTCTGCTTACTTTGGATTTAATTTGCTCTTCTTTTTATAGTTTCCTAAGGTGGAAACTTAGATTATTGATTTTAGATCTTTTTTTTCCAATATAGGCATTCAATACTATAAATTTCTGTGTGGGCACTGCTTTCACTACATCCCACAATTTTGATAAGTTGTGTTTTCACTTTCATTTAGTTCCAAATGCTTTTAAATTTCTCTTGAGATTTCTTGTTTGATCCATGTGTTATTTAGAAGTGTGTTGTTTAATCTCCACATATTTGGGGATTTTACATTTATCTTTTTGTCATTAATTTCTAGTTTAATTCCATTGTGATATGAGAGCAGACATTGTATGATTTCTGTTCTTTTAAATTTGTTAAGATGTGTTTTATGGCCTATAATGTGTTTTATCTTGGTAAATGTTCCCTGTGAGCTTGAAGAAGAATGTGTATTCTGCTGTTGTTGGATGAAGTAGTCTATAGATGTCAGTTATATCCAGTCCATTGATGGTGGTGTTGAGTTTGACTATGCCCTTATTGATTTTCTGCCTGCTGGATCTGTTCACTTCTGATAGAGGGATGTTAAAGTCTCTAACTGTGATATTGGATTAATACATTTTTTTGAAATTCTATTAGTTTTTTCCTTACATAATTTGTTGCCAAGAAACTCCTCTTCAGGAGGGGATAAATGGAAATATATTGTTTTAAGGTTCCTATATGTGAAATGATATAATATCACTAGAAGGTAGACTATGATAAATTCAAGCTGTATACTATAGACCCTAAGGTAATGAATAAAATAACACAGCAAAGCGGTATAATAGGCCAACAAAAGAGATACAAGGGAATCATAAAAAAATCAATGAATTCAAGTGAAAGCAGAAAAAGAGGAAAAAGTAAACAAAGAATCAAAGAGAAAAATTGAAAACAAATAGCAAGATGGTAGATTTAAACCCAATCATATCAATAGTCATGTTAAATGTAAATGGTCTAAACACGGAATTAAGAGACTGAGATTGTCAGATTTGATTTAAAAAGCAAATCCAACTGTATTCTGTCTAAAAGAAACCCACTTTAAATATGAAGACATAAATATGTTAAAAGTAAAAGCATGGAAAAATATATGCCAATATAATACTATCAAAAGAAAGCTGGAGTGGCTAAAGTAGTGTTAAACAAAGTAGATTTTAGAGCAAAGAATATTACCAAGGATAAAGAGGTCATTTGCTAATAATAAAAGAGTCATTTCATCAAGAAGACATAGCAATCCTAAAAGTTTATGCACCCAATAACAAAGATACTCTGGGTGCCTCTGGGAACCTCAACCCTAGGAGATGTCCTAAGAGATTCCTGTTCTGGGACCTCAAGTCTCCCAGGAAGTCCCTGATCAAGGAAAGCAGGGAGCATAGTTGTCTCTAACCTACATTTTCACTAGATGTTTCCTTTATCATAGTGTAGTGAGAATCCCAGAATGGTATGTTCTCTGCACTCTGCTAAGGCTCCTGTATCCTATCTGAGTGATAATTTCCCAGGTTTCCCTCAGGAAAAACCTAAAAGGGTCTTGGTGATTGATACCAGCTTGGCCAGGACACTAGCTTAGTCTTGATTAAAATACTTCAGTGTTACCCCACTGCCTTTAGAATGAAGACAAAATTTCTTAACCTGGCTTACAAGGCCTTTCATGATCTCCCATTAATAGGCAAATGTGAGGAACTTAATAAATATTTATTGAATAAACAAATATATGAAAGCATCCAGAGAGGAAGAGAAAGAGAGACTGGTCTTTGCTTACCTGTCCAGTTCATCTCTTGCCTTGTCCATCTCTACCTCAATGGTATATTCCAGTCATACTCAATCCTTCCCATTTCTTAAAATCTCTGTCCTTTCTTGACTTTGTCCTCATACATGCCACTTTCTTTCTTGGAACACTCTTTTTTGCTTCCCCACCCTCAGCACGCGCGCGCACACACACACACACACACACACACACACACACACCCCTAAATAAGTTCCACTTATTCTTCAGGACTCAGCTTAAAGGACACTTCCCCTAGGAGGCTTTTTCCACCCCTTTAGAGTTGGTGGTCCTCCTATGAGCTTCTGTCATTCCCTGTATTTCCCACTTATAACATTATAATTTTGTTTTGTAGTTATTTAATTGTCTGTCTTCCCTGTTAGATTGAAGCACAGGGGCCAAATATATATAAATATATATATATATAATATATTTTAGTTAATGAATAATTTAATAAAAGCTTCTAAACAGAACAGAAACCAAGGTTTCCCCATTCCTATGGACAGAATGTCCCAGTTAGGCAGAGAGAAGGAAGGAGGAGCTGAGCCCTGATCTGGAGCCTGTCTTGGGTTTACTAGAGAGGGGTATTTATGTGTGTAGCATCAGATGATTCCTTCCCAGTGATTCAGCCCCTTAAGGGAATGTGAAGACAGGGGCTGTCACACTACAAAGGGCAACCTGCCTTTGAGAGAACTAATATAATGTCCCTTCAACATCTCCCTATATCCCTGCTCTGCAACAACCTTTGAGGGTCTGAGAGCAGAAACAGCATCTGTAAGGGTGGTGGGACACTGAACAGACTCCAGCAGTTTTGCAGTGCATTGACCAGGAAAGCATCTATGGCCACTGAAGTGTGTTTATGAAGAATAAATGGTTTCCAGTAAAGTAATAGGCAAAGGAAATTTCTAGAAACTAAATCATTTATGTTCATTGTCTTTGCTTTTTAATTGAAAGACATTCCATTGGAAAGAACTTCCAGAAGACTGAGAGGGAGTTTTTTGATAAAAGGGGTTAAGAGGACAATTGTGGCTTGGAATATCAGGTTTGGTGAATGAGGTGTCACTCTTAAACCACTTTTAGAGGAGGTGGCACTTCCCTGACCCTGGCATTTCTCTTTAGCCATCCTGGTCTCACCTCCTTGCCCTGCCTTTCTTCAGGGCCACAGGAATTCAAGTAATGGTCTGCTTTCCCTTGTTCCTATTCTTGAAGTTCCTGGAGCTCAGCGCATCTCCCAGGCCTCTGTTCTAGAACTCTGACACCTCATTTTAAGCAAAATGTGTATTCCTGAAAATTATGGATGAATCAAAATATTTTTGAAAAACAATCAGAAAAACCTGTCTTTCTGCGAAGTGAAAATTATTTGTAAAGAATTATGCTCTGATTTATCTGTCTTATTTATTTATTTTTTTTAATGTTTGTTTATTTATTTATTTTCCCCCAAAGCCCCAGTAGATAGTTGTATGTCATAGCTGCACATCCTTCTAGTTGCTGTATGTGAGACGGGGCCTCAGCTTGGCCGGAGAAGCGGTGCGTTGGTGCGCACCCGGGATCCGAACCCTGGCCGCCAGTAGGGGAGCGCATGCACTTAACCGCTAAGCCCTGGGGCCGGCCTATCTGTCTTATTTTTAAAGCTAAAAGTATGATTTCCATAATTTCCAATCTTACCCTCTTAAAACAGGATAGATTCCCACTCGAAAAGATCTTAACTAGGAGGTTGTAGGTTCTGTAATAGTAATAACGCAACGTGCTTTCCTGAACATCCTGCCTTTAGACCCCACAGTAGCCCTATAAGATAAGAAGGGACCTGAGACTCAGAGGGATAAAGTGACAAGCATACAGCTTTGCAGTGCTACAAGAAAGGTTTCTGTAACTTTTTTTTAATTGTAGAAGCAATATGATTTAAATAAGTTTATTTGGTGTCTACAGGCACACAAAGGTCAGTGGGCCTTGGGTGTCACATTTCTTCCTGTATTTGTTGGAAGAAATGATTTTGTTGACATGATTAAAGAAAGTGTGATGTAGTGGAAAGTGCGTTATACTTAAATCCAGAACTTTGAAGTCAAATCTGAGCCCTTACTGTGATTTTGGGCAAGTCACTTAAAGATGAGGAAGAGTAGAAGAAAAATGTCATTAACTGTGCACTTGCTGTGTGTCCAACAGTGAATTATCCACGATCTCATTTAATTCTCCTCTATGAGACAGGTGTTGTTATTCTCATTTTACTTTAGTTATAAAAAGTAACACATGGTCATGGCAAAAAGACATTTTTTTTGAAACAGAACAGAAGAGGTGATGATTAGAAGTTCCTGTCTAGGGGCTGGCCCTGTGGCTTAGCGGTTAAGTGCACACATGCCGCTACTGGCCGCCCGGGTTCGGATCCTGGGCGTGCACCAACCCACCACTTGTCGGGCTATGCTGAGGCCATGTCTCATGTACAGCAGCTAGCAGGATGTGCAACTGTAACATACAACTATCTACTGGACTATCTACTGGGGCTTTGGGGAGAAAAAGGGAAAAAAAGGAGGAGGATTGGCGATAGATGTTAGCTCAGGGCCGGTCTTTCTCAGCGAAAAGAGGAGGATTGGCATGGATGTTAGCTCAGGGCTGATCTTCCTCACACACACACACAAAAAAGAAGTTTCTGTCCAACTCAAACCTACTATAACCACAATAATTAGTTCCTTGGCTAGCCTGCCAGAAATGTTCTGTGCTTAAAGTTTTTTGGAGAGGATATCAGGGCGAGAAAAGTGATTGAAGCTTTAAAATTACTGGAGATGGGGGTGGACGAACTTGGATAAGGAACCCAGGGGCCTTTTGGGAGGGAAAGGATTCAGAACCCTTCTTATCTAAGAGCCAAAATTATTGAAAGCTGTTGGGTTGCATCTGATTGGCAGGGAGTGACATTGAGACTCCTAAGAGAGTCTCTTAGGAGAGAAAGAGATGAACTATTGGGCTGAGGGGGTAGGTAGTGATGGTTCCAGGTCTGTGTGCCAGATATCTTCCATTTGCTCTTTTCCATCCTGATCTCAGCCCCAAGAAGCTGACCTGTATAGACTAATAAAATACATTAATGGACTTCCTTGTGTTCTAGCTTCTGCTTGATTTTGGCCAATGAAAAGCTCTAGCAGGAAATCAGAGGGAGAGGATGGGAAGGAGGTCTTGATAGTTTTTCCTCTGGCTCGTTCCCTGAAGTGTTACTAGAGCTGGCTACATCTCTAGACTGAAGGACACAGTTCCTCTCAAAGTGGCCTTCTCTGCATGATTCTATTCACGTTTCATTAACTGCTCCTTCCTCTCATCCTTATGGACAGAGAGGTAGTAACATTCCACTAGGATTATTAGTCTGAGGTTACACCCTTATTCCTTATGGGTCCTCTACACCTCTACACTGTAAATAGTTCTTTATTTTTCTAATTTGAAAGTACCATATATTTTCTGTTGTGACTCTGCTTGATACACTCAGTTTGGCAGTGGATCCCAGAACCTGTTCCAACCCAGCAATCCTGGTGACAGGCTATGTCCTGGAGAAATGGTGGGAGGAATGGTTTGAAGGATTTGTAACATTGGAAGCCCAAGGCAGTTTTGTCATGAGGTAACCTTGTTCAAGTACGATGCAGAGAGAAGAGTCATCCTCTTTTGCCTTTTGAGGAACAGTGTCCTCTGGGCAAGAATTTCTACCAGCTATGCTGGAAGCAACTGGAAGCAGAAGCTTGGCCCCAGCCATGTGGCTTCAGTTGTGCAGGCAACAATAGTATGTACAGTCCTGTACTCATTATCTATTGCTAGATATCAAACCTCCTCAAAACAGAGTAGCTTGAAATAACAGCCTTTTTACTACCTCTCATTGTTCTGGGCTAAGTAGGAAAGTTCTCGCTTATGGTCTGTCATGCAGTAACAGTCAGAGATGGTGGTTGGAGCCAGAGTCATCTGAAGGCTCAAGTGAGTTGGATGTCCAAATGGCTTCTTCATTCTCTGTCTGGCAAGTTGGTGTTGACTATTGAATAGGAGCAAATCTGGAGCTGTCTACCAGGGCTTGAATTTCTTTCACAGGGCATATTCACATGGGTAGCTTGGACTTCCTCATGGTATGGTTGTCCCAGAGTTGTTAGAATTCTAACAGGAAAGCTAGCTTTCCCAATGTATTTTCCAAGGGACTCAGATGGAAGCTGCATCATTTCTTATAACTTAGCCTTGGAAGACACACAGCATGACTTTGGCCACATATATTGGTCAAAAGTTTGTTCGAGGCCTGTCCAGATTTAAGGAAAGAGAGTGAATATCCAGAGTAATAATTGATCACTGTGTGTGGAGGTCATATTTAGGAACTAACCACCATAAGCTCCAGGGGTACCTATTCTGGCACCAGCAGTGGCAGCAGCAAGGATTGCAGGCATCTCTTTGGAATGCTGAGATTTCTGTTGTAGACTACAGCCTTGAGAGCAAACAGAACTAGCTCTTCATTTCCTTCACACATCTGCAGGCTGGGGTCCCTTTGGAAAATCAGAAAAGGGACTGGCCTGGAAGTATTACAAACTGGGGTCTCAAGTGTTCTACTTTAGAGTACATGGCATTAGGGAGGCAAAAATACCCTAGTTTCATATAAATGAAGAAATTGAAGCTCAGAGAGATTAAATAAGTGGTAGTGTCAAGATTCAAATCTCTGTCTGGCTGTTGCCGAAAACTCTTAACACTAAGCCAGGGGTATAGAACTCAAAATGTCTACAGAGGGCAGACAGTTTCAATAAATGCATCAAGCTAGATTAAGTCAACTGGCAAGAAGCAGCTTATTTTGCAACCTAGCTGAACACCTGCCTAAAGAAACTGTCTTTTAACATACTTGTAGACAAAACCAAACTAACCAGTCAAACAAAACTCAGCCTGAGGGCGGTGGTGTAGGTGGTGTAAATGGTGCCTGTGGACAGTAAAGATGTGTTTGTGCCCTTTCTTCCTATGGATGGGGCTAGAATTTGCAGACTGGTGTTTTTTGTTACCTTCCTGTGGAACTGAACATAAAGATGTAAGTATTGGGCTCAAAGCCCTTGCCTACACTCTTGTTCAAGGGCTGTCAATTTATGACTTCTGCATTAAATACTACTACTATTTCCCCAGATATATTTTTTCTTTTCTTTCTTTTTTTTTTTTTTTGTGAGGAAGATCAGCCGTGAGCTAACACCCATGCCAATCCTCCTCTTTTTGCTGAGGAAGATTAGCCCTGTGCTGACATCTGTGCCCATCTTCCTCCACTTTATATGGGACGCCGCCACAGTGTGGCCTGACAAGTGGTGCCTTGGTGTGCGCCCGGGATCTGAATCTGGGCCGCGAGACGCAGAGCACGTGCACTTAACTGCTACGCCATGGGGCCGGTCCCCTCCCCAAATATATTATTTCATTTATCTTCACATAGCCTTGTAAGGGAAGAATTATAATCTCCATTTCACTGGTAAGGAACTGATTGCAAAGAGATTACGCAAGATCACACAGTGTTAGAGCCAGAATTCAAAGCCAGGTCTATATGACCCAAAGTCCCTGATTTTTCTTCTATTCCAATGCTGTCTTCATTGCTTAACCTCTCTTCTTTATTTTCAAAATAAAGGTAATAGTACCTGCTATGCCTACCTGAAAGGGTGATTGTTAAAATTAAACAAAAATAGATATTAAAATGTGTGTCAGAGACTCTCATCATTTGTAAAGTGCTAAACACAAGCATGCTATTGTGTTATTTTAATTTGTTTAACAAAAGTGTATTGAGAATTTACTGTGGCACTCATACTGGAATACTGCAGTGAACAAACCAGATGAAAAACCCTGCATGCATGGAGCTTACGTTCTATTGAAGAATCCAGAAAATAAACTAAATCAATATGTAAATTATATATAACATTTTAGAAAGTGATAAATATTAAAGAGAAAAATCAAGCAAGAAAGGAGATCAAGAGGGGTAAGGGGTAGGTGCACTCATAAACAAGGTGGTCAGGGAAGGTCTCTCTCAAGAGAGGCCTCATATCCTCTTGGCCAGGGGGTGGCAAAGTACAGCCCACTGGTCAAATTTGCCAAGGCCTGTCTTCATAAGGCACACAAAAAAGAATGCTTTTTGTTTTTTGTTTTTTTTACATTTTTAAAGGATTGTAAAATGATAGAGAAGAATATGTGAGCATCATGGTGAAGTGAGTTGTTCCCTTTGTCTCTCTTCTCTAAGTTACAACCAGTTGAACATCCATTGACCAACAAAGGACTCCCTACACAGCAACCAGAATGCCTGAGAGATCTGTGCATCTATACATCTGAAGGTGGGTAGGCTAGGCCTCCAGGAGGTAGTGGAACTAGGGGAGCAGCCCCCTTGCCCTCCCTTGGCAATGGCGATCCAAAACATGGATCCTCACACCAGCTCGTGCACCAGTGGCTAGATCCTGCAGGAACAGACATGGCACTCATGGCTTAGCCCCTGTTCCCCCACCTCAGTGGTGGCGGGTGGTGCACCTGTCCAGAAGCTTCAGGACACAGAGCGGTGCCAGTAACCCAGCCTCCTCCCCCTCCCCCAGCAGTGGCACCAGTCTTTCCAGCAATGTGGAGAGCATCCAAAGCCTTACCCAAATAAGAAAGGTGTTTACTACCACAAATGTGCCAGCAGAGGAAAAACTTATCAAGCACCATGAAGAACTACAGTAACACAGCAGAACAGAAAGAAAATGACAACTCTCCAGAAACCAAGCTTGAAGACACAGAAGATTACAGTCTAACTGACAGAATTCAAAACAGCTGTCATGAAGAAACTTGAGTTACAGAGAACTCAGAAAGACAGTTCAGTGAGCTCAGGAATAAAATTAATGAACAGAAGGAGTAGTTTACCAAAGACATTGAAACTCTTCAAAAAAAAGCCAAACAGAAATTCTGGAGATGAAGAACACGAAGAGATGAACAATAAAGTAGAGAAAGCATTGAAAATAGAGCAGATCATATGGAAAGAAGAATTAGCAAGCTCAAAGATAGAAATATAGAAATGATTCAGGTGGAAGAGGAGAGAGAGCTAAGTTTTTAAAAAAATAAATTTTATGAGAAATATCAAACTCAATTAGGAAAAGGAACATAAGGATAATAGGTGTCCCAGTAGGAGAAGAGAGGCAGAAAGGAGCAGAGAGCTTATTTAAAGAAATAATAGCTGAGAACTTCCCAAACCTGGGGAAGGGACTGGATATACAAGTACATGAAGCTAATAGAACTCCTAATTATCTCAATGCAAAAAGACCTTCTCCAAGGCATATTATATTAAAACTGTGAAAAGTCAATGACAAAGAAAGAATATTAAGGGTAGCCAGAGAGGAGAAAATAACTCAGAAAGGAACCCCCATCAGGGTATCAGTGGATTTCTCAGCAGATACTCTATATAGGTTAGGAGAGAGTGGAATGATATATTCCAGATATTGAAAGAAAAAAATCTATCAGCCAGGAGTACTCTATCCGGCAAAGTTATTCTTCAGATAGGAAGGAGAAATAAAGGCTTTCCCAGACAAACAAAAGCTGAGAGAGTTTATTGTCACTAGGCATGCCTTACAAGAAATGTTGAAAGGAGCCCTCCTACTGGAAACAAAAAGGCAAGGTTTACAAAGCTTTGAGCAAGGTAATAAATAGACAGAATCAGAAAATTGCAGCTCTATATCAGAATAGGATAGTAAACACTTAATTATAACATAAAGGCTAAAAGGAAAGAAAACACCAAAATTCACTATAACCACTTTAATTTGGTAACAAACTCACAACATAAAAAAGGATAATTTGTGACAACAAAAACATAGAAGGGGAAGAGGAAAAGGACGGAACTTGCAGAGGGTAATGGAGATAAGATGCTATAAGCTGAAAAAAGACTATCTAATGTATGAGATCTTTGTTTTTTCTTTTGCTGAGGAAGATTTGCCCTGAGCTAACATCTGTGCCAGTCTTCCTCTATTTTGTATGTGGGTCGCTGCCACAACATGGCCACTGATGAGTGTTGTGGGTCCACACCTGGAAACTGAACCCAGGCTGCCGAAGTGGAGCATGCTGAACTCAACCACTAGGCCATGGAGCCACCCTGAGATCTTTTTTTTTTTTTTTTAATTATTTTATTGAGATCATATTGGTTTGTAACATTGTGTAATTTCAGGTGTACATTATTATATATATCAGTTTCTGTATAGACTGCATCATGTTCACCACCAATAGTCTAGTTTTTATCTGTCACCATACATGTATACCCCTTTACCCCTTTTTCCCACTCCCCCTTCCCCTCTTATAACCACTAATCTGTTTTCTTTATCCATGTGTTTATCTTCTACATATGAGTGAAATCATATGGTGTTTGTCTTTCTGTATGAGATCTTTTTTATAAACCTCATGGTAACCATAAAACAAAAAATCAGAGCAGAGTCACAAATCATAAATAAAGAGGAAACTGAGAAAAACATCACAGAAAATCATCAAACTGAAATGGCAGCTAGAAATACAAGGGGAAAAAAATGGAAATAAAGAACAACCAGAAAACAGAAGACAAAGTGGCAGTATTAAGCCCTCAGGTATCAATAATCACTCTAAATGTAAATGGATTGGGCCAGCCCCATGGCTTAGCGGTTAAGTGCATGCGCTCCGCTGCTGGCGGCCCGGGTTCGGATCCCAGGCGTGCACCAATGCACCGCTTCTCTGGCCATGCTGAGGCTGCATCCCACACACAGCAACTAGAAGGATGTGCAGGGCCGGCCTCGTGGCTTAGCGGTTAAGTGCGTGCGCTCCGCTGCTGGCAGCTCCGGTTCGGATCCCGGGCGTGCACTGACACACCACTTGTCCAGCCATGCTGAGGCCGCGTCCCACATACAGCAACTAGAAGGATGTGCAGCTATGACAGACAGCTATCTACTGGGGCTTTGGGGGAAAAATAAATAAATAAATAAAATCTTTAAAAAAAAAAAGAAGGATGTGCAGCTATGACATACAACTATCTACTGGGGCTTTGGGGGAAATAAATAAATAAATAAATAAATTGTTAAATGTAAATGGATTGAATTCACTAGTCAAAAGACAGAGTGGCTGGATGGATTAAAAAACAAGACCCAACAATATGCTACCTCCAGGAGACGCATCTCAACTCTAAAGACAAACATAGGCTCAGAGTGAAGGGATGGAATATGATACTCCAAGCGAATGGCAATCAAAGGAAAGTGGGTGTAGCTATACTTATATAAGACAAAATAGAGTTCAAGCCAAAAGAGATAAAAAGGGACATAGATGAAAATTATATAATGATAAAAGAGATATTTTCTCCACCAAAAAGACATAACACTTATTAATATATTTGCACCTAAAATAGGAGCACCAAAGTATATAAAACAACTGTTAACAGACCTAAAGGGAGAAATTGACAGCAACAGAATAATAGTAGGGGACTTGAACACCCCACTTACATCAATGGATAGATCATCCAGACAGAAAATCAATAAGGAAACAGTAACCTTAAATGAAATACTAGAACAAATGAACTTAATAGGTATATATAAAACATTCCATCCAGAAGCAGCAGAATACACATTCTTCTCAAGTACACATGGAACATTCTCCAAGATAGAGCATATGTTGGGAAACAAGGCAGGCCTCAATAAATTTAAGAAGATTGAAATCATATCAAGCATCTTTTCTGACCACAGTGCTGTGAAACTATAAATCAACTACAAGAAGAAAGCTGGAAAAGTCACAAATATGTGGAGACTAAACAACATGCTACTGAACAAGTATTGGATCAATGAAGAAATCAAAGGAGAAATCAAAAAATACCTGGAGACAAATGAAAATGAAAATACAACATACAACAACTTATGGGATGCAGCAAAAGCAGTACTAAGAGGGAAGTTTATAGTAATACAGGCTTACCTCAAAAGACAAGAAAAATCTCAAATAAACAATCTAACACTATATCTAAAAGAACTAGAAAAAGAAGAACAAACAAAGCCCAAAGTCAGTACAAGGAAGGAAATAATAAAAATCAGAGCAGAAATAAATGAAATAGTGACTTAAAAAACAATAGAAAGGATCAATGAAACTAAGAGCTGGTTCTTTGAAAAGATAAACAAAATTGAAAAACCCTTAGCCAGACTCACTAAGAAAAAAAGAGAGAAGGCTCAAATAAATAAAATCAGAAGTAAAAAAGGAGAAATTACAATGGATACCACAGAAATACAAAGGATTATAAGAGAATATTATGAAAAGCTGTATGCCAACAAATTGGATAACCTAGAAGAAATGGATAAATTCTTAGAATCATACAGTCTGCCAAAACTGAATCAAGAAGAAAGAGAGAAAATGAACAGAGCAATCACAAGTAAAGAGAACGACATGGTCAACAGAAGTCTCCCAAATAACAAAAGTCCAGAACCAGATGGCTTCTCTGGTGAGTTCTGCTAAACATTCAAAGAAGATTGAATACTTATCCCTCTCAAACTCTTCCAAAAAATTGAAGAGTACAGGATGCTTCATAACTTATTTTACAAGGCCAGCATTACCCTGATACCAAAACCAGACAAGGACAACACACACACACACACACACACACACACACACACTCAAAAGGAAAATCACAGGCCAATGTTGCTGATGAACATAGATGCAAAAATCCTCAACAAAATATTTTAACAAATCGAATACAGCAATACATTAAAAGGATTAAACACCACAATCAAGTGGTATTTTTTCTGGGGATGTAGGGATGGTTCAACATCTGCAAATGAATCAGTGTGATAGACCACATTAACAAAATGAAGAATAAAAATCACATGATCAACTCAATAGACATAGAGAAAGCATTTAACAAGATTCAACATCCGTTTATGATAAAAAAACTCTCAATAAAATGGGTATAGAAGGAAAGTACCTCAGCATAATAAAGGCCATATATGACAAACCCACAGCCAACATCACACTCAATGGTGAAAAGCTGAAAGCTATTCCTCTGAGAAGAGGAACAAGACAAGATGACCACTCTCACCATTCTTATTCAACATAGTATTGGAAGTTTTAGCCAGAGCAGTTAGGCAAGAAAAAGAAATAAAAGGTACCCAAATTGGAAAGGAAGATGTAAAACCATCACTATTTGCAGATGACATGATTCTATATACAGAAAACCCTGAAAAATTCACCAAAAACCTATTAGAAATAATAAATGAATACAGTAAAGTTTCAGGGTACACAACATACAAAAATCAGTTGTATTTCTATACACTAACAATGAACTAGCAGAAAGAGAAATCAAGAATACAATCCCATTTACAATTGTGACAAAAAGAATAAAATATCTATGAATAAATTTAACCAAGGAGGTGAAAGATCTATGTACTGAAAACTATAAGACATTATTTAAAGAAATTGAAGACGACATAAAAAATGGGAAGATATTCCATGGTCATGGATTGGAAGAATAAACATAGTTAAAATGTCCATATTACCTAAAGCAATCTACAAATTCAATGCAATCCCAATCAGAATCCTAATGACATTTTCCATGGAAATAGAACAAATAATCCTAAAATGTATGTGGAATGACAAAAGACCCTAAATAGCGAAAGCAATCCTGAGGAAAAAGAACAAAGCTGGAGGTATCACACTCTCTGAATTCAAAATATAGTATAAAGTTATAGTAATCAAAAGAGCATGGTATTGGCAGAAAAACAGAAACACAGATCAATGGAAGAGAATTGAGAGCCCAGAAATAAAACCACGCATCGATGGACAGCTAATCTTCGACAAAGGAACCAAGAACATACAATGGAGAAATGAAAGTCTCTTCAATAAATGATGTTGGGAAAACTGGACAGCCACATGCAAAAGAATGAAAGTAGACCCTTATCTTATACCATACATAAATATTAACTCAAAATGGATTAAAGACTTGAATATAAGACTTGAAGCTGTAAAACTCTTAGAAAAAAACATAGGTAGTATGCTGTTTGACATCAATCTTAGCAGTAACTTTTTGAATGCCATGTCTCCTCAGGCAAGGGAAAACAAAGAAAAAACAAACAAACGGGACTACATCAAACTAAAAACCTTCTGCACAGCAAAGGAAACCATCAACAAAACAAAAAGACAACCCACTAACTGGGAGAAAATATTTGCAAATCATATATCAGATAAGGAGTCAGTTTCCAAAATATGTAAGGAACTGAAACAACTCAACAACAAAAAAATGAACAACTCGATCAAAAAATGGGCAGAGGATGTGAACAGACATTTTTCCAAAGAAGCTATACAGGTGGCGAACAGGCACATGAAAAGATGTTCAACATCACTAATTATTAGGGAAATGCAAATCAAAACTGCAATGACATTTCACCTCACATCTGTCAGGATGGCTATTATTAAAAAGACAAGAAATAACAAGTGATAGGATATGGAGAAAAGAGAACCCTCCTACACTGCAGGTGGGAATGCAAACTGGTGCAGCCACCATGGAAAACAGTATGGAGATTGCTCAAAAAATTAAAAATAGAAATACCATATGATCTAGCTATTCCACTTCTGAGTATTTATCCAAAGAACATGAAAATGCTAATTCAAAAACCCTTAGCCCATATCTGAAACCCGTGTTCATTGCAGCATTATTCACAATAGCCAAGACTTGGAAGCAACCCGAGTACTCATCAACGGATGAATGGATCAAGAAGATGTGGTATATGTATTCAATAGGATACTACTCAGCCATAAAAAAGACGAAATCGTGCCACTTGCAACAACATGGGTAGACCTTCAGGGTATTATGCAAAGCAAAATAAGTCAGACAGAGAAAGACAAATACCATATGATTTCACTCATATGTGGAAGATAAACAAACACATAGATAAGGAGAACAGATTGGTAGTTACCAGAGGGGAACGGGGTTGGGGGAGGGCAAAAGGGGTAAAGGGTACATAGGTGTGGTGAGGGATGGAAACTAGACTTTTGGTGGTGAACACAACGCAGTCTATACAGAAGCTGAAATATAATGATGTATACCTGAAATTTACACAATGTTATAAACCAGTGTGACCTCAATAAAAACCATAAAATGGAAAAAGAATGTATTGGAAACCCAAATTAAAAAAAAAAAAAATATGTGACAGAGACCATATGTGGCCTGAAAAGCTTAAAATATTTACTATCTGGCCCTTTACAGAAAATGTTTGCAGACGTGGCCCACTTTTTATCCCATTGCTGTGGCAACCAACTTTGCACAGGTGTAACCTGACAGCTTTTGGCCTCAGCTGCACTGAGCATCTCTTGCTTTCTGCCTCCCCCTACCTCCCCATTTCCCATGGAAATCTGTCTGGCACTCACAATATACAGCCTGGAGGTATGAAGTCCTTAACACCCTATGGGGTAACCGTTGACAACAGGGAGTGGCAGCTGATGGATAAAGCTCCCCCACTCCCACCCCAACCTTCCTCTCTTGGGCAATTCCTCTCTTGTGTGTCACATTCTATATGCCTCCTCAGAAGGTGCTAGTAGGATTAAGGTCCGGATCCTCCAAGTGGTGACCAACTTGATAACACTTTGGCTTTTCCTTTCTGTTTCTTTCCCTCCAGTTCCTCACTCTCACTCCCTGACAGCTCTTGTGTCAGGCTCTGCTTTTTGTTTTTTTTTATGAGGAAGATCAGCCCTGAGCTAACATCCATGCTAATCCTCCTCTTTTTGCTGAGGAAGACCAGCCCTGAGCTAACATCTATTGCCAATCCTCCTCCTTTTTTTTTTTTCCCCCCAAAGCCCCAGTAGATAGCTGTATGTCATAGTTGCACACCCTTCTAGTTGCTGTATGTGGGACGCAGCCTCAGCATGGCCGGAGTCCAAGCGGTGCATCGGTGCGCTCTCGGGATCTGAACCCTGGGCCGCCAGTAGCGGAGCGTGCGCACTTAACTGCTAAGCCACGGGGCCAGCCCCCAGGCTCTGCTTTTGAGGGGGAAGCCAGACTAAGACAATTGGTATCAGGAGTGGCCCTAGAAAGCTGGCTCTCAGGCTTGGACTCTGGAACTGAACTTTAGTTTATCTTTGTGAAATGAGGAACCACTGAAATGTTTTGAACTGAGGAGTAAGCTGACCTGACCAACATTTTTAAAGGATCCCTTAGCTGTTGTGCTGAAAATGGACTCTAGGGAAGATGTTGGCCCTAGCAGTGATGGTAGCAGTGAAGGCAGTGATGAATTGTTGCATTCTGGATATAACTTGAGCCAACTGGATTTGCTGGTGGATTGTGTATGAATTATTAGAAAATGGGAGGCATTAGGATAACTATATGTTTGGCCCGAGCAACTGGAAAGATTGAGTTGCTATTAATTTGGATGGGAGATACTATGGGAGGAACAGGTTTAGGGAGTCAGTGTGACAAGCCATTATGTTTTCATATATTCATTGTTTAAGTTTGTCCCATATTAAATGAGTAGCTACTCTATACCAGGCATTGTGCTCTGGGAATTAAATGGTGAATGAGAAAAATACAGCTCAGTCCTCCTAGGTACTCAAAGTCTAGTAAATTTGGTGTTTATAATTCAATGTGATAAATGCTGTGGTGATTAGAGGAAGGGTTCTAAGATCAGAATGAAGGAAGAGGAGGAGGAAGGAAGGAAGAAGAGAAAGAGGAAGAGGAGAAAGAAAAAGCTCCTCGATACTAAGCTTCTACTATGGACCTAGGTTTGTATGAGCTGCTTTATCCCATCTCTATAGTTCTGTGAGGTAGATATTGGAAGGAGTACTGGTGGGGTTTAATGGATTAAGGTGACATTGTTTCAAATTTTGTAAGAAACATGTCTTGATTTTATAATATAAAGAAAATATCTAGGCTTGTGTCCAAAACCTAGTGCAAATCCTTGTGATATAGGCAAGGCGAGGTCTTTAAAGTCTTTTTTCCTCTCCCTAAATTTAAACCCAAATCTTAGGATGTGACCACTCTGTTACCGGCTACTTCACAGGTAATCAAAGGAATGAGTGCAAAGTGGTTTTGCCTCCTTCCATGTGGGAGAAGGCCCTGCTCCTTTGTTCACTCTTACCCCCAGGAAGGAGGAACAGGAGAGGAGGGCTGCCAGTCTACATGAGCTTTGAACCCACCTAGTCACCATCTACAATTCAGGTTAGTGTTAGGAGAGGAGGAAGGTATGTGGGCAGAGGAGTGGAGAATTTCTCCTCCTGAAGGTGGGATTACTTCCCTTTTATAAAGGAGAGTAACTGGTCCAAGCTCAGCTAAGAAGCAGAGACCATGTCTGACTCAGGTCTGTCTCACTTTTTCAGCTCTGCAGAACCAATGTCTGTGGCCTTTAAAAAGAGAAAAAAAGTATGTGGCAGCGTAGAAGCTACTTTTAAAGGCCTAGAGGGCACAGGAGTTCTCAGCAGACCAGAGAATGCCAGCACAGATGAAATTTATGGGCCATGTGGCTGAACATGCCACGACAATATTGGGCTTGCCAGATTTCAGCTCTTTCTGGGAAGAGCTTAGGTCAAGAAAACAAGCAGATTGGCTAATTGTTACCCAGATTTCTGACCCTGCTGAAATGTTTCCCATGTGATTCTCCCTGAGTTTCAACCTGCCATGCTCCTGTTTATTTCCATTACTAATTTTTTTTAAATAATTTTATTTATTTATTTATTTTTTCCCCCAAAGCCCCAGTAGATAGTTGTATGTCATAGCTGCACATCCTTC